CTTATTCTACTTGTTCTTATTCTGTCGTTTTAATGAAAATTTTTTTAAAAGCTTATAAAATATAATTTTTTTAAGAATTTGACAAAAGATGACATACTTTTAATAAAGTTAGAGGAGTCAAATATCACCTGGTAATGGGAAGGCTACTTTTTGATAACATTTTGGATTATTGATTAGAAGGTGCTCCTAAAATTTTGAACGTGCTCCTAAATTTTTTAAGTTAGGAGCACAAGTGCTCCTAAAAAGAAAAGTAAGCGTCAAGCCCTGACTAAGATATTAAATGACTATTAAAGGAGTTTGCAAATGTGATATTGATTTAATACAAACAGTTCAATAAACAATAAGTTAATATTAAATGACTACAAAACTATTGCCTGATTTTGCTCTATTTCATCAACTAAAATAGTTTCGAACAAAGTCACAGAATCTGAGCCGTTCATAAAGAGTCATTTGCTTCGTTCCCGAATGAATCAGCTGTTTGAACGAATCAACTGAATGAATGATTCAGTGGTAAAATCAGTGACTTGCCGCCACCTACTGGCAGTTTTAGTTTAATTTTTAAAGCATAATTCAGTTATTCAAATCATGTAATATTTCTATACTCAATTGTATATTTAAATGCCTCACTAAATGTCTGTAAATATACCTACATGCCACTTTTGTCGTCTTCTGTAGTGCAAATGAACTTCGTTAATACTGATTTTATTTGATCTGCAACTTATTCTTCTTACTCTAGTGTTTTAATTTGAAAATTTGAAAAAAGCTAATAATATAAATTTTTAAAAAGATGACATACTTTCAATGAAGCCATTACAAAGTTAAACAAATCCCTGTAAATCACTTTGAGCAGTCAAGTATCAGCTCGTAATGGGAAGGCTAATTTTTGTTATCGATCAGAAGGTGCTCCTGAATTTTTTGACTGCGCTGCTAACAATAAAAGTGTTCGTGACGTCACTGGTCTGCAGTGCAGCAAACACGCCCTGATTTATCATCATCACCGATTCAATCAGCCTTACGGTCTCTGACGTTAACAACATACTGGTGAGGTTTAATTTGGACATTTGACGGTATAGCGACTCAAACAGGGCGGGGCTACACAAACCCTGCGACGATTCTATGCAATAAAATATAACGACATCGATGTCAGTCAGCGCAAAACCACACCCAAACACTGCGTGCATGTCATCCTGAGCTTAATCACACATGTAGCTGCACGCGACACGCGATAAAAGGCATCTTTTCAATGTTAATCTGAGGTTTTGTGCTTATTAGCCGCGACGGCGACACGCGAAACTTCTATTTTAGAAACAACATACAAACTACATGACAGTGATAATCTCAAGTACAGATTATATAACGTTACTTTATTCAAAGCTAAATGTGTGTCTAATGGGAGTTTAGATATCATTTTGCGTGTTAGCCGTACTGAAAGCAACAACATGGTTTACCTCAGATCTTGAAAATAAATTAAAGCAAAGATATACGTTAAAACTGTGAACTCAATGCGAACCAACAAGTGTATTCCATAACAAAGATGGTATCAGTCACTCAGGATGTACATTTAATAATGTTAAAAAGGTTTAATATTTATGAATTAGATCATAAACGTATCCATTTCGTTGAGGCTCCGCCCACACACGCTTCTGATTGGCTGTGATATTTGATTGGTTCTGTCGCGTCGCTGTGTCGCGTCGCGTTTGTCGTTAGGACACGGTGTTTTAATGTGCGTTTAACGGACGGTGTTGTCACCTTTCAGCGCGCTCCGCTCCACCAGGAGTAATAAAGTAACTGAAATAGTTATTACATTTTGAATAGGGTAACTTGTAATCTGTAACCTGTTACATTTCCAAAGCAACCTTCCCAACACTGCTTGTACCTTCTTCACTAAAGCTGAACAATAACTCACATTAACTCTAAACTAAACTCTATCTGAACTGTTTCGAAGCTGAGCGACTGCTATCACGTGACTGCTCTGATTTCATTGACATCTGATCAAAGCAGTAGAAACATGCTCTGAAGACGAGTAACTTTTCCAGTCAGGTTTACGGTGATAAACAGGAAAATCACAGAATCAGTGATGGAAACCGTAAAGCCGCTCTGAAGAAGACAATCATCATCCAGCTCAAGTTTAGTTATCTTCTGATGCGGTCAGTCAGTGTGCTCATCGATAAATCACTGAAAGTTAAGACCCAAAGTAAGCAAGCCAAAAATATGAAAATAAAAGCTCTGATATCATGCACTCAGAATCAGAAACCAAAACCAGATGAAATATCGTCCGTGATCAAATGCCCTGTTGAACTGCATCCATAAATGTTTACGCTTTGAATGTAGTATAAGTTTTGGATTGTGTATTAGCCACTGTAAATGTTATATATGGCTCAGAGCAGGCAGAAGCGTGAATGTGTTTGTAGTCTCGTTCAGTGAATCATACATCAGATCAGATCCTGTCTGTTTAATAATGACTCTATTGTCTTCTCTAGAGCTGCTTTGAATCTTTGGAGCAGGATTTGAATATTTGATGAACTTTGCAACATTGACTGATATTTTCCTGTTTATCACCATGAACAATCTGTATTGTATAAAGCGCTATAGAAATAAAGGTGACTTGAGAATCATGGCGATTTGTGAACTAATTTAAGACTAAAGGTGGGATGTTTCTTTAATGCGGCAAAACATAATGAAGCTTGTAGTTTTTATGCACTTCTGTGTGATTCTGAGCCTGTGGATGAGAAGCGGTTCACGTCTGTCCTTCCGGTCTTCTAGCCAATCAGAAGAGCTCAGTTGTAAAATGTTTAGTAGTTTTTGTTGCACAGTTATATTTCACAGCATAAACGTGAGGGTTTGCTGTGTTCAGTGTACGAGTGACTCAGACTCTCAGTGCTGTTGTTCAGTGTCTCTCTGTTTGTTTTCTCAGGCTTCAGCAGCAGTTTGTGTGCCGCGCTGCTGCTGTAGATCTCTCTCTCTCACACACACGCACGCACGCACGCACACACACACACACACACACACATGCTCGCACACACACTCACTCAC